TCCGGAGATGATTTGGTTCTGAAGAGTCTGTAAGCTGTTTCAGCGTCTTACTTCTAGAGACGAGTTTGACCTTGGCTAGAGTTTCCAGCTCGGTATCCAGAGCTGCTAGGAAATCCAGAGAGTGAGTCTTCAGGTTTGGCTCGGAGGGCAGGCTCGGCAGGTCAAGCTCTTCCAGAGCTTCACAAGAGAAAAACAGGTAACCTGGAAGCAGAGACAAAGGGTTAGAACCCAAACAGGACTCAGGAGTAACTAGGTTCTCAGAGGATCTATGGCTTAGGTGCTAACCAACTGATTAAGACACTGCGGCGTCGAGGCAAGGTCTGAACGCAGCTTATGTAGTCTGGTCCTCCAGATGAGATGATCAGAAGCAGGAACCAGGGCGGACTCTGCTGGAGAAAGTAGGCATTTCTCCAGCTCCCAACACTCACTGGCAGGATTTTATTTTTGGAATGTTAATAAGATAAAACTATAGGAAGTGATTTAAAATTCTAAAAGGAAATCAGAATTTTCAAAATTTAATTGAATACAAGAAGTTGCAAGCTACAATAAAAAGGGTTATAAGAAATACAAAAAGAGAATATTGGAGGAAATATTTTAACTAATTAGAAAGAGATATAGGGAAAGTATGGAAAATGATTAAAATAATAAATGTTCTAAGAAGGGATTATAATAGTCCCAATAATATTAGTAGAGAGTGGAAAAAGGGTAGAGTTAAAACTTTATTAGAAAAAGAACACATGATAAACCGAGAAGAGGGAAATAGTGTCATTAATATCAGTTTTTGGTAAGAAGAGTGGAGGGGTCTGGCTGTGTTTATAAACAATAGATGGTGTTTCTCTGAACACCTAGCCATTAAAGTGATGCTCTGCAGCAAAGACATTGGGCTGCTAGGAGTTAGCATTAAGGTACAACTACCTGCCCCAGGAATTTACACATGTCATTATGATAGCTGTGTATGTCCCCCCTCTGCTAATGCGGCAACAGTCTGATGTCCTGCACAATACCACCAGCAGACTCCAAACACAGCACCCACAGGCTCTTTTCTGATCTCTGGGAACTTCAACCATGTCTGCCCATCTTCCACCCTTCCCACATTCGCACACTAGCTGCGTCTCAATTCGCAGGCTGTGTACTTCGGAGGACCCAGCCTACCCAGCCTCCAGAGGACCCAGCCTTCGGAGGATGCTCCGGAGGATCCTCAGCCGTTGGTAAATGGGACGGTCTAGCCTTTGGAGCACTTCCTGGTTGTGACCCGAAATCAACACGTCTACCCCAAAAACAGCGCCAAACAAAATCCGACAGCTCGAGAAATACTGAAAGAAACAACAAAAACAAAAAATAGATATGGACATTTTTTTCACGAGTCGCTTTCACGGCTTCGGCGGCAGCAAAACCGGCGACGGATTTTCTCAGGCTGGGAGAGCGCAGTGGAGAGGTAACATTTACCTGCTATTATTTTCCCCACAGGCGCCTGCTAATGATCAGAATATACCAGCTAATAAACAAACACTTGTCAGCAGATTGATGAATATATTTAAACATCAAATTTTATATTTATTTCTAAGACTTGATATAAGCTTGTTTGTAAATTTAGTAATTTGAATTGAATAGTTAAATGTGTACAAACCCTGTAAATAACTGACTTAAATCACTACTTTCACTATCACTAATGTTGTGTTGAGAAGCCAAACTGTAATATTGAGAAATAAATCATTATTTTTCTAAATTGTTATCCCCTTACTGCCTGATTTTATTTGCAATTATATAACAAAAACATAATACAGGAAAAAAATCGAAATATAAAAGCGAAAAAAAAAGTTACATTTTGGATCTAGACGAAGTAAAATTAAATTTCTACTAAATCATGTAATAAAGATTATGAAAAAAAGATAACGACTGAATAAAAATAAATATTTTTGTCTTTTTTTCTACAGGTCATAACAGCATGTGCTGTCCTGCACAACATCTGCCTGGGAGCCGGTGACATCACGGCCCCAGAGGATGACATGCCAGAGGATGAGGAGGGGGAGAGCGTGTTGGAGGCAGTCAGTGGTGCTCCATGGAGGGACCAGCTGTCTGCCGAGGTGTCTGCTCTGGAGGAGGGTCTACCTGACCACCGTTACATTTAGATGGAAAGAAGAATCACATTTTAGCTGCTCTCATTTCAGGGTTATGAAAACAGTTGTAGAAAAGTCATTATTTTCTGCGTCTTCTTAAAGATTTTTAGTAACATGCACTGCATGAAAAGTGGGATTTTCGTCAATATGCGGCACTGTAGATTGTCGTGGAACTTCAGGTTAGCGGCAGTTTACGGCAATTTGCAGGCTTCGCCGAAAACTCCCGTAAATTCTCAGAAATTGATGTGGACTTTCTTAGGCAGTGTTCCCCCAATGCCTCCCCCCCATGGAATTCTAGGGGAGGCTTTAACATGTAAATGAACATGCTGTGAGCTATACAAATGCAAATCAGGGTTGCATGGGGAGTTTTACCCCAAGTGACATTTTTCTAAAAGGTAAGAAAATCTCTGATACAAAGAGATCAGGCTCAGTATAGCCTCTTACATTTTAGCTTGAATTGATTTATTTAATTAAAGTATAGAGACCAAAACAGATCTTTAGCTGACAGAGCAATACATTTAGAGCAGTAATTATTTAAAAAAAAATTGCATTTAAGATAAAAAATAAAATGTTGTCTGTCAATATGCTCAATTGACAATTACTTAAGTGGAAAATTTTAAGAAATGAGTCTGAGATGATTCACCTTATAACATGGCGCATTATCCTGTTGGAAGTAGCCATCAGAAGATTGGTACACTGTGGTCATAAGGTCCGGCCAGGTCAAGATCCGCAATTGCAATTGCACCAAACAGGAAAAAGAACATCGACAAATTCCGGTTCGTCAAATTAAAATATAGCAGCAACAGATCGGTGACTAGAAATTATAGCACAATTCTTATATATAAAAAAAAAACTAACACCGTTTATTTAAATGATTGGATCCAAACTATTGGTTATTCACCAACGAGGAAACAGATTTCTCATCTCCATCAAAATATTTATTTTATACCGAGGGACTTAAACTTTAATCAAATCCATTCAAAAGAAACTTCTTATTACAGGAAAGAAAAGAGATGCTGAGTTTGGGAGTAGAGAACAAGTTCATTCAAAAAAAGCAGTTTTGAATTATCCTTATCCCCGTTACAAAAATCTACAAATATATATATATATATTTGGGCAGAAACTGAACATTTGCTGGATAATGGTGGGATTTTTTTAATATGTCACATTAAATTAAGCGCTCACAGGGTTCATACAGGACTCTAATTTAATGCTATTTTAATGCTATTAGAAATGATTTTAATGCCATCAACAAGAACCATGTACACAAGTTATTAGTGTACATGAAATATGAAGGAGCTGTAAGAACAGTTCCATGACTCCTGTATGTATGTAAACACACACACACACACACTCACATATATACGTATATATATATCCTCTAGCTTTTTCTCCGCCTGGAGCTTCCTTTCCGAACATACGGCTTTATGATCAGTTCCACACAAATTAATAGCGATATAATATATCTGAAAAAATTGTTTTTATAAGAATTTTTTATTAAAGAATTATAAATACTTCGATAAACATATTTAAATACTTTTAGTGCCAATTAAGGCCTTGATAAAAAAAAAAAAATGAATGAATTTTAATTATTTTTAACGATCCGCGGAAACCCTGGTTCATCTCGCGCATGCTCTCTACGATCTCCAAGAAACTCAGAGCGGAGCGGTCTGGAGCCACAGCGGAGGATGTATGCTTTGCTTTGTGCAGGCGGTCTGGAGCGCAGCGGAGCGGAGCGCTGACGGAGTATGTGGGATTTCGGGGTAAAACTCCTCTTGGACGCCATGACGACTGCAGTCGAACAACTGTGCGGGAGAGACAAACTCAAAGAAGAGAAGCTAGCGGTAAATATATGTTCGATTACTGCCTGCTAAGCTAAAAGCAGCCTAGCCTAAGCTACGGCTAATAGCAGCAAAGCCTAAAGCTACGGCTAATAGCAGCCTAGCCTGAAGCTACAGCTAATAGCAGCCTAGCCTAAAGCTACGGCTAATAGTAGCCTTGCAAGAACAAGCTTTATTAAAGTGTATTTTTTGTAAATCACAGGAAGCAGTACGCCGTCTTCACAACTCGGAGACAAATTGCAGGCGCTATGAACCGGAGCAAGGGTAAGAGTTAAAGAATATGCTTTCATTCTGCGGTAAAAGGAAATAGATACGGATGGATACCGATCATAACTGTACATTTTGTTTTCACAGACTAATCTCGCCTCATAATGAGGCGCTGACCTCCTATTATTCATACCACTCTCATTTAATTGTTTTCCAGCTGCCTGTAAGACGTATTATGAGACGGTACGCAGGAGCTTCAGATATACGCAGCCTGAGAACACGCTGCGCGCGGAATCTCCCAACCATTCAGAAAAGAAAGAGAGTAAGACTTTATTTGGTGACTATTTTTCAGGTGCATTGATATATGTGTTGTGTCCATACGCAGTGCAGCCCATCGCATAGTGCTGATTCATTGTTTTTTTTTTTTTTTTTTTTTTACAGCTGCTGGAATCGAAGAGTGTGCTAGCTGATGAGGAAGTGGAACTCTGGAATGGCCGCCGCCATTTCGTAGGCCGGTGTTCTGTCAGATAGCCATGCGTTGTCAGATCGTCATACGCGTATGACAAACTGATGGCTATATCTGTCAGATCAGCATACGTTGTCAGATAGTCATACGCTTAGCTCAGACATGTATACGTTGTCATTACCATATGATTTTATTTAATCAGCAACATAGAATCATGACGTAGATCATCATACACTTTGTTATTAACAGTTATATGGCATCCTGACTTAGCGGTTAAGTAGGTTCATGAGTTCCACACGCAATTTCACCATATTTTATATTTAATCATCTTTATTAAAACGGTGTTAGATCGTCATAAAGCTGCTAATGTAATAACACTTTATTAGCCACTGTATGACTTCCTGATGCATCCCTTAACCTGTCTGATTGCCATACACTTTGTTATTAGCCACTGTATGACTTCCTGATTAATACCAATGACATCAGTTGTATGATGTACTATATTTAATGTAGAACATTTTACTTCTGTATTTTTAATAATCCACACTGTCACTGGTGGGGTAAAACTGTTTAATTTAAGTTACACTTTTTACATTTGAACATGTCACCCATGTCTGTGGCACATTCTTTGTGTGTCCACCTTGAGCAGCAGTCACACTGTATCTGTGAAGTGGACAGAAAAAGAAAACAGTTATGAGTAAGCAAGTGTAATGTGTTTGAAGCGTTAAGTTGTACAGTTTAGTTGTTTACCATGTCAATGATGTTCTCTGAAGCATTACAGTGAAGCATATTGCATTCCACACAGTACTCTTCCACCTTGTCTGGGAACAAATAAAGGCATTTAGAGTGTACTTTACCAAAAATAGTCAAGTACTACCTCTTTATATTCTGTTGACAAGCCATCATGTTATACTAGTACATAACAGAAAATACTGCAATTTAGTATGTCATATATCTTTGGATTTTTTTAATGCTTTGGACTGTTCCGGTATAGCCTAAGGGTAAATTTGTTCCGTTTGGAATGAAAAATTCGTTGATATGCTCCTAAGCCATCTTGTGTTTTTGATTGTTAGAATATTAACAAAACAGATCAACAGGTTTCACACAGACTTCCACAGTTCCCAGAACAGTGGAACTGGTTCTTAATACCCAACATTAATAAAATTTCATGTGCTCTGACCAAACAATTCTTAGAATCATAGCTGTCCAAAGCTATAAATCTCTGAACATTCAGCCAGCAAACTGGAAAACAAGACTTCTTTGTAATTGTTCTTTCACCTCGATGTTGATACAGTGTGGTAGCGATGTGCAGTCTGGCTTGGGATATGTCTTTGGGTCCTGTTTGCACTGCCTGCAGCCCTCCCATTTGAACATATGTTTCTGCAAACTGAAAAAATTATGCCTTTTAATGTAATAATTCCATGGATTTCAAAACATTCCATCTGTTCTTTGTACCTTCAAAACCAAGACCCCACAACTGCTGGAGTCCTTCTGCAGCATATGCGGCATATGGCGGACACTCCAGCTTCTCCGGCCAGCACCTTTTGCTTTTAGGAAGTTTCTGTGCATTTGCAGAAATATTTAATTATAGGACATTGTAACAATAACAAAATACATAATGAATGAATGATAAAGACATGAATCAGATCACCTCCAGTTACGGAGAAGCTTTCTGTCATACATTGTTTCGTTCCCCATAGGGTCTATAACTACTAGCTCTTGGTGATTCATCACGACAATCTGTTGGAATGTTTGGAAGATAGATAAGACAGACAGACAGACAGACAACCTCTGTCACCCTCCCATGCTGCCCAGGGAACATCCGATTGTGACATATAGACATATTCATGTGTAAATAAAGTTAAATAAATAAATTTTACATACCACCAAAAGCCAGTGACCTCCCACATTTACAGGGCACATCCAAATGGAGGCTTCAGGTAAAACCATCTTTTGAAATTGCAAATAATAAGACTAATTTGCATTCATTCTCTTAAGATGATTTAAAAGTGAATAATTACCTTTTGAACAGCCCGATATTGCCCAAGATGAAATACAGAAGATGCAATTACTGCATCCATTCTGTATACAGGTATCTGAAATGTAATATAATTTCAAAGAAATATGTGAAACTACAAAGAGTGGATTAAATTTAACCTTAAAACATGTTGTACCTTGGTCTTCTGAAGTGTCACATACAAATATGCATCTATAACCTGTTTGACAAAAAAAAAAAAAACAACATAAATTTCTGGATGGACTGCCTTGTGAAAATATAAACTTCCCAGAACATGGAGTCTTACTTCATCTGACAGCCAGCCATGTCCACAGAGTGTTCTAAAAGATGTGTCATACAATTTATATGGGCCAACAAGGGCTTCAACTTGCCCTGAGTCTTTCAAAGACCAAAGTTGAACTACTGCAACAAAAACAGAAATTGCTCTTTTAAAAACTTATACATCTGAAAAAAGCAACACAACTTCAGAGGAAGTTTTGCAGACAAGACCAGGAACAGGTCATTGAACCAACATGCAAAAATTGATCTACCGATCAGAACCCATGACCAACAGGCCAGAACAGAAAACTAGAAAACTTTGTGACTACTGCACCTTGCTGCTGAATAGGACTCTGACACATCATAGAATGAGCTGAGGGAGACAACTGAGACAACTTGGTAGGGTTAGAGGGAGAGGTCACTGGAGGGGGAGAGGGAGAGGTCACTGGAGGGGAAGAGGGAGAGGTCACTGGAGGGGGAGAGGTCACTGGAGGGGGAGAGGGAGAGGTCACTGGAGGGGGAGAGGTCACTGGAGGGGGAGAGGGAGAGGTCACTGGAGGGGAAGAGGGAGAGGTCACTGGAGGGGGAGAGGGAGAGGTCACTGGAGGGGGAGAGAACACTGGAGGGGGAGAGGGAGAGGTCACTGGAGGGGGAGAGGTCACTGGAGGGGGAGAGGGAGAGGTCACTGGAGGGGAAGAGGGAGAGGTCACTGGAGGGGAAGAGGGAGAGGTCACTGGAGGGGGAGAGGGAGAGGTCACTGGAGGGGGAGAGGGAGAGGTCACTGGAGGGGGAGAGGGAGAGGTCACTGGAGGGTTAGAGGGAGAGGTCACTGGAGGGGGAGAGGGAGAGGTCACTGGAGGGGGAGAGGGAGAGGTCACTGGAGGGGGTGAGGGAGAGGTCACTGGAGGGGGAGAGGGAGAGGTCACCGGAGGGGGAGAGGGAGAGGTCACTGGAGGGGGAGAGGGAAACGTCACCGGAGGGGGAGAGGGAGAGGTCACTGGAGGGTTAGAGGGAAACGTCACTGGAGGGGGAGAGGGAAACGTCACTGGAGGGGGAGAGGGAAACGTCACTGGAGGGGGAGAGGGAAACGTCACTGGAGGGGGAGAGGGAGAGGTCACCGGAGGGGAAGAGGGAGAGGTCACTGGAGGGGGAGAGGGAGAGGTCACTGGAGGGGGAGAGGGAGAGGTCACCGGAGGGGGAGAGGGAAACGTCACTGGAGGGGGAGAGGGAAACGTCACTGGAGGGGGAGAGGGAGAGGTCACTGGAGGGGGGACTTCACTGGAGGGGGAGAGGGAGAGGTCACTGGAGAGGGAGAGGTCACTGGAGGGGAAGAGGGAGAGGTCACTGGAGGGGAAGAGGGAGAGGTCACTGGAGGGGGAGAGGGAGAGGTCACTGGAGGGGGAGAGGGAGAGGTCACTGGAGGGGGAGAGGGAGAGGTCACTGGAGGGGGAGAGGGAGAGGTCACTGGAGGGTTAGAGGGAGAGGTCACTGGAGGGGGAGAGGGAGAGGTCACTGGAGGGGGAGAGGGAGAGGTCACTGGAGGGGGTGAGGGAGAGGTCACTGGAGGGGGAGAGGGAGAGGTCACCGGAGGGGGAGAGGGAGAGGTCACTGGAGGGGGAGAGGGAAACGTCACCGGAGGGGGAGAGGGAGAGGTCACTGGAGGGTTAGAGGGAAACGTCACTGGAGGGGGAGAGGGAAACGTCACTGGAGGGGGAGAGGGAAACGTCACTGGAGGGGGAGAGGGAAACGTCACTGGAGGGGGAGAGGGAGAGGTCACCGGAGGGGAAGAGGGAGAGGTCACTGGAGGGGGAGAGGGAGAGGTCACTGGAGGGGGAGAGGGAGAGGTCACTGGAGGGGGAGAGGGAAACGTCACTGGAGGGGGAGAGGGAAACGTCACTGGAGGGGGAGAGGGAGAGGTCACTGGAGGGGGGACTTCACTGGAGGGGGAGAGGGAGAGGTCACTGGAGGGGGAGACTTCACTGGAGGGGGAGAGGGAGAGGTCACTGGAGGGGGAGACTTCACTGGAGGGGGAGATGGAGAGGTCACTGGAGGGGGAGACTTCACTGGAGGGGGAGACTTCACTGGAGGGGGAGACTTCACTGGAGGGTTAGGGGGAGACAACCGAGAGAACTTGGCAGGGGGAGATTGAGGACGAGAGGGAGACAACAGGGAAAAGCACTGGATGACCTTGCCATGGACCTGACCATCTGTCGTTGTCTGCAGTGGGGTTTCTGCTTTGCCTGCGTACCTAATCACTGTCTCCCTTTCATTCAACTTCTCACCTGAGATGAAACCCTCACCTGCATTTTGTCCCTCATTGCCTCTGTTATATGGCTTCAGACGACTCATGCTATGCTTTGTCTTGAGGACTTTTCCGGCCATTGTTTTCAACATCACAGTGCTCCCTATCACTTTATGGATAAAATAAGGTCCAGACTAGTCTGCCTCCATCCTGGCACCTTTCCTACCCCTTTTTCTTATGTTGAATAGAAGAACTTCCTCCCCTTCTGTGAACTTGAAATTTTTGATTTTTATTTGTGCCCGGTTTGCAAAAGCTTTTTTCATTTTTTTTTTGAGCCAGTTCGACATTCTCTTCCACCTGGATCTTTGTGTCCCGCTGTCTGTTGTCTCTGTCTTTAATAATTTGGCTGTAGTCCTCTGGTAGGACTACAGAAGACAACTGTATTGTAAAAACACAAACACATTTACATTCAAAATATAACTAACAAGACATCAAACTTTGTATTAAGAAAGTTCAGAATGTCTGATGTAGAGGAGGAATTAAGTATTATCCGGGTACACAGTGCAATTACCAGCCAAAATCACCAATGCCTCTGTAGTTATAAAAATTGTGTTAAGTTAAAAAACTGAAATTAAAAGAAACTCAGTCTCACCTGTTATTTTCACATTACTCATTCCTACTAATCTGGAAGACTGTAGTGTTTGTGTTGGCTAATGCAGGTATGTTTTTGAGGAAGTACTGAAATTTTAACTCGGATTTCTATGCAAAAACAGTACAAACCCATGTAATGTAACAGAATCGTACCGGCATGTCAACAGAAACTTCAGAAGGAAACCTAGCCTCTCTGCCATACATCAGAAAAAATGGCGAGTATTTCGTGATGGTGTGGGTTTTTCGACCTTAAGGAAAACAAATTGGCCTCAAGGAACATGTCCCAGTCATCTTGCTTGTCGTTGACTAGTTTTCTCAGTGCCCTAGAAGAACAGTTTCATACATGTTCTAAGAACATACTCCAATTTGTAAAAGTTGCTTATGTGTTGCATTTTTTATGGTATGTCATAGCTATAAGAAGCTGTATATTGATACAAGTCTACAGAAAGATGTTGCAATGAAAAGAAACTATTAAGAGATATAAAACAAAACAAAAAAACATGTAAGTTTTCTAATAACTTTCTTACCGCTTAATGTTGTCATTTGTCTTTTCATCCAAGCCGTTGGTTTGAGGATGATAGGCGGCAGTGATGCTTCTTTGAATTGAAAGTAGATCACAGAGTCTACTGTTCATCTAAAACAACAACGAAGCACATTATTATAACCTTTTACATATACCGAGGCTTCACAAAAATATATGTAGTATTAAATGTGGCTTACTGTGTTCACAAATTCTCGCCCCTGGTCAGTGAGAATACGCTGAGGACAGCCGTGCCGGTAAAATATAGAACATCATTTTTGGCAGACTTCCTCAGCGGTCTTAGTCTTGAGAGGGAAAGCCTCCACCCATTTAGAGAAGAAATCTGTAGCTGTCAGGATACACTGATTGCCACAAGATGTCAGGGGCATGGGACCTGTCAGATCAATTCCGATCAGCTCCCACACCCCTGACACCTGTTGGGGATGACAACAATGTTATCAGCAACAATGTCCTACAGGTGGTAAACTTCATGAATTGCTGTGGATGGTTACCTTTATGCACTGAAGTTCTCTGACAACTTGGAGGGGAGGTCCAACTCTTTGGCACCGGTCACATTAAGACACCTTTACAACATTACAGTTTATAGGTTTTACGACATTTTGGACCATAAAGATTTTGCTAACTATGTTGTTACATACCCATTTCTCAATGTCTGCTGTCATACCAGGCCAATAGAATCGGGAACACATGGCAATGCGTGTTTTGACAATGCCAGTGTGTCCTCCCATGGGGGATGCATGAAACTCCTTGAAGAGGTTCCAGGCCTCTTCTTTGGACTGTATGGCCCTTCTTTCAGGTAAGGCTCCGTAGAATAGGTCACCAGCTGTATTAAAACAATGACCATATTATGTCAATATTGTAGTTAAAGATGTTATGTTTATTTAAGATATAAAAACCCTACCATGGATGGTAAATTTTTCGGCATACTTTCTTAAAGTTTGCCTCTGCCCTCTGTTGAATGTCAATGGGTAGGAGCCTTCAGAAATAAAACTGAAGACTTCCCCCCATTTGCACTCCATGTTTGCTATAAATGACACAAGAAAACATGTAAATTGCATCAACAAGCATTTAAACAAGACAATTCATTAGACACTGCAAATTGTTCAAATATATAATAATACCCTGCTGCAGCTGCGTACACAACAAAACACACCTACTCCTGCTACTAAACACGCCAACTGGTGCTGCAATAATATGACATTTCTGTGAAATATCAGCTCTTAGGACAAGAAATACAAAATTAAAATAAATAACAAAAAGTTTGTAGTGAAAGCTTCTTCATATCCATCCTTTCTTATTCCGATTTAATACAAAAAAACCTTGTAATCAACATATTTATGCATGTGCATCCAACAATGCAATTCTTGAAATACTGCAGAAAACACAACAGCGAGTTTAAATGCAATTGAGAGATCCCAATTTTTTATTGACAACACTGGTGGATGCCATGTCCTTCCTGGCAACGCCTGGTGAACACAGGGACTTCAAGTGACTCAAGAACATCTCCTGTCTTTTATTAATTGAGGCAAAAGTCACACTGACAGTGACTAATACATAACCCAGGTGGCTGTACTCGTGTATGTGATCTGTTAACCTGAAAAGCCTTCATGTTCCAAAAACAACCTCAATTTGCATAAACTAAATATGTGTAAATGTAAAGCACATATAAAAACAAAATTAACATGAACGCTTTTCATATACATTAATGAAGATAAGGATTTGTTTCAAAAGTGAAACACTGGTTTTGCCCCAGTTTCAGTGTGGGAAAAAATTGCGTTTTCATACGTCTGATTCATTTAATGTTGGTAACGGTGGATGCCAACATTAAGTTCATCTATGTAGATGTTAAAAAGGTGAGAGGACAGTATACTTCCCTGTCTTACTCCTGAACATGAAGGCTTTTCAGGTTAACATATCACATACACGACATGCTATCCAAGTTAGCAGACATGTTATCCAACCCAAAAATATTAAGGAACTGGGGGACGTGAATTTAAACAGGGCGTGTTTTGTAGTTTACTGCAGCTGCAGCAGCAGCTGCAGCAGCATTGAATTTAATTTATTTACTTACTTTTTAATGTTTCTCTTCTCGCGTATGACAAGCTGACTACTCCTCTCAATATTGCGGACCTCCTGCAGAATGTGCATGCGTGCGCATGCGCTCTTGCCATATGTATGCTATTCTGACATGTATGGCTATAGAACACCGGATCTCTCTGAACTCTGTGTTAAGCTGCAGTCCCGGTTAGAAGCGATGCCGAAGTACAGGGCCACGCACAGTAGGCGTCTGCACATCGGACCTGCCTCGGAGGGAATGCTGCCAGTTACCTCCAACCCCGAGGAAGCAAACGGACCGTTCACGGAGTTGTAATTTTTGGATACGCATGTGTTTGGATACGCGTTGTATATAGTTGTGTGTGTTTTAATGAAGCTCTTTCTTTGCATAAACAGCTTCCTGGCAAATGTTAATTTCCTGTATAAATTCATTCCTGTCCTTGATGGTAGCCTAATAATTGTGTAGTAGTGTTGGATAACATAAATACACAGCATATGAATAAATAAATATATGAATGAATAAATAAATATATATATGTAAATATATATATATATAAATATATATATATATATATGTAAATATATATATATATGCCAACCAATCACGAGCGACTTTACTTGTTTAAAAAGAAGTGGTTCCGTCCAATACTCAGTAAGAAAATTAAAGCCTGGCGTGGCCACGTGTGGTTTTGCTGCCAATCACGAGCGATTTTACTTGTTTGAGAATAGTGGTTTCAGCCAATACTGAGTAGTTTATTCAAGCCAGACCTGGCCAGCCGTGCGGGTTTGCTGCATTCATATGCTAATTAGGGCCATTAGTACAGCTGATCGCTCTCCACATACATCAGAGTCCGTTCCCGACAATTTGTGGCACTGACAAACGCGGACAAGTGCGGGTTGCAAATTGTCGGAAAGTGACGAAAATCAGGGAGATCTGCGGGAGTTTACGGGGACGAAAATCTCACTTTTCATGCAGTGATGGCAGCCGTCGATTGGGTCAGCCCTGCAAACCCTGATGAACGATGTGGTGAACAGTGGAGAGAGGCACCCCCCACCCCCCAGATGATGTCCCACTCGCAGTCAGAAGACTCCAAAGTCAGCTGTGTGGCATCGCATCCAGACCAGCAGCACCACCAGGGACTCCTGCTCAGTCACAATTGTATATATATATATATATATATATATATATATATATATATATATATATATATATATATATATATATATATATATATATATACACACACACATAGATTTATATACATTCATACACTCCCGATCAAAATCTTAAGACCAGTAAAAAAAGAAGAATTTGCATTTTGCACTATTGGATCTGAAGTAGGTTCTAAGTAGAACTTCACAATGTTAAAAGAAGAAATCAGCGTAAGAGACAACATCTTTTGAGCGGGGAAATAATTGAAAACTGCCTTTACACTCAAAAATTTTTTTTTCCAGGTGATCAAAAGTTTAAGACCATAGTTAAAAAAAAAACGAAAACCCCCCAAAACAGAAATCAAAGGGTCAAAACAAGGACTCAGTAATGAGTAGCTCCACCATTCTTGTTGATGACTTCAAACAATGGTTTAGGCATGCTTAATGCCAGTGTTTCCACAAGGCTAGTGGGAACGTTGCTCCAAGTGCTGAAGATGGCTTCACGAAGGGTATCCACTGTCTTGAACTGATGTCCATTTTTGTAAACTTCCCTTGCCATCCATCCCCAAATGTTCTCAATTGGGTTTAGATCCGGTGAACATGCAGGATGGTCCAAAAGAGTGATGTTATTCTCTTGGAAGAACTCCTTTGTCAGGCGGGCATTGTGAAATGCAGCATTGTCCTGTTGAAAAACCCAATCATTACCACACAGACGAGGGCCCTCAGTCATGAGGGATGCCCACTGCAACATCTCCGCATAGCCAGCTGCTGTTTGATGCACCTGCACAACCTGAAGCTCCATTGTTCCATTAAAGGAAAACGCACCCCAACTCATGATGGCGCCCCACCACTGTGCCGTGTAGAAAACATCTCAGGTGGGATCTCCTTGTCATACCAGTAATGTTGGAAGCCATCAGGACCATCAAGGTTAAATTTTTTCTCATCAGAGAAGACAACTTTCTTCCACCTTTCAATGTCCCATGTTTGGTGCACCCTTGCAAAGTCCAAACAGGCAATTTTGTGGCGTTGAAGAAGACGTGGCCTTTGAAGACTTTTTTTGTTTCTGAAGCCCTTCTCTCGCAGATGCCGTCTGATGGTTATTGGGCTGCAGTCAGCACCAGTAATGGTCTTAATTTGTGTAGAGGATCGTCATGTGTCTTGATGGACAGCCAATCTGATCCTGCGGCTCAGAGCTGGTGACATTTTTTTGGCTCTACCACTTGACTTTTTTTTCCCATAACCCTCAGGATCATTTAAAAAATGCAAAATGACTGTCTTACTGCGTCCAACCTCAGGAACGATCGCACTTTGTGAGAGGCCTTGCTTATGCAACTCAACAATCCTACCATGTTCAAAGTCAGTGAGCTTTTTTGCTTTTGCCATCAGGAGGTCTTGACAGTGTAAAGACTTGATAGAAAATGACATGGAATCCAGATTTTTGCACAGCTTTTAGCTTTTAAAGACTATGGTCTTAAACTTTTGATCAGCTAAAAAAATACTGTTTGAGTGTAAATGTACTTTTCAGAAAATTCCCTGCTCAAAAGTTCTTGTCTCTTCCACTGATTTTTGCCTTTAACATTGTAAAGCTCTACTTTGAACCTTCTTAAGATGCAATAGTGCAAAATGCTAATTCTTGACTGGTCTTAAGATTTTGATCAGGAGTGCATATATTAGGGTTTTTGAAAACCGTCCGAACCGTTCGGTTCGACTGTCTCGGTTCGGTTCGCGTGTGTTGCATGCGGTTCATGCGCTGTTGGGATCTGGAGATCTGCTACCTGTCTCCAGCAGAGAGCGCTGTGGGCTTCCTGAGCTGGAGTCCTCACCACACCTGAGGATCATCAGCTCATCAGAAGACCACCCTTCAAAAGCAGCAGTCAGACCTTCCTTCGACGCCGCAGTGTTGACCAAGTTTGGTTAGCGAACCTGAGCCTCTAAGAATTTAGGAAATCTTGTAGACTCTAGAGAGAAACAAGCTTTTCTAATCTGCCTCTGTCTTCTTTGATCACAGGAAATCCCACCAACGTCTGAAGCTCTGGATGAGCTTAATCTGAGAACCTGCCTGCCTGCCAAGTAAGCCAA